GGGCGTGGGTATGGGTGTGGGTGTGGGGTGTGGGTGTGTGTAGGTAGTTGTTGTTCCATTGGCTACGCACCCACACCCACACCTACACCCACACCCACGCCCACATCCACACCCACCCATACCCACACCCTGATGTACATTAACATCTCCATGTATATTCAAATTCGAATTAGGCAACTAATGACGCGGGAACGTCTACCATAATTGAGAAACTCTAATATATTTTCTTCGAAAATAGCGAGTGTAAGTTTTAATTCGAAGTTTTCGGGCTCCCTTCCCTTACAGACATCTCCCTCTATAGGCCTTAGCAACCAAGGTCAAAGATCATGGCGTGCGTTTTCATAGTAGCGCAGGGAGGAAAGACTGGTTCAATCAAGATTACTACATGTTTTTCTTAGCAACGAAGGGGAGAGAAATAAGAGCCATTTAATGCATGTCCTATGAAGATATGTGATTTCCACATTTTAGTCTCAGAGGGACTACGCTGACAAACTTCTTATTTACTTTTCACAAAATCATCAAGACATTGACTTCATATATCAGAAATTTCCTCTTCTGACAAGATTCATTCTCGAAAAACCTTCCATCAGTGATCTGCGCGACGTCTTACGATTCATTAAATAGAAAAAATGAGAAATGTTACGATAAATAATTGAAGATTGTTATATATATTCTTTGCTTTCAATCACCAGAGCAATAGTCAGATATTCGCTTGTTGAATCAATCGATTCTATTCCAACCTTTATGGATTTCGAATACGATCCTCAATATATATTTGAAGGATCAGAATCTATTCATTCCATTAAAAATATTCATCGTAGTTTAATTTCTAAGCTTGTTTCGTTTGATTAACAAGCATTTATTCAAATTTCTTTACTTATTTTATCTTCATCTTGAGGTCAATAAAACTTCTATTGTGTTAGCAATAGAACATTTCATTGACATATTAAATAAACAATATTTTATTTGTTCTTAATTACCTGTCATTTATCTATGAAAAAAACAAAAAAAAAACATGTTTTCATACCCTTGAAAAATTCGTTGTTGAAAAGAAAAATAAAATGCAAATTATATTGAATGAACTTTTTCGCATCTATATAACTAATGTTCAGTGTGTGTTGGTCTGTGCCAGGTCAAAGGTCAACGGGGGTAGGTGGTCGGTCGACTTTCGACTTTGAACAGACAGACATACACACACCGTGCAATAGAGGATTAGCACGGGCTTTCACTAGTATGGAATATAAATGAGTATTCTTGGCAAACACTTCTTCTATTGTCTATTCAAAAGAACCTTGCCAACAGTGCAAGCAATTTTACATAAAAGCATTGTAGATATTCTATTTAGATAATATTGATTTTAAAATATTCGCTGCTGCTGACTGTCTTGTATGAAATTACTCAGTTCCTTAACAAGGTTTTTCTGAGTCAAAAGAGCATCGACCAACAAAGCTCGCACTTCAAAAAAACTTTGAACCCTGTATTGTTTGATTGCACATGAAACAGCATCATCAAAAACTTCAGAATCCAAATTTTTAGCCCATTCTAGCTTGTTTTTTAAAAGTTATGAACTGAACACATGTTTGGAAGAAAAAATTTTTTTCATGCTAAACTTGATTAGTCAATATTTGGTCATTTTCTCCATGATAACAGACCAGAATCTTTTCAAGTAATAACTCATTTGAATGACCAAACTTTGGTCTACAAAACTAAATATGGCCTTTTCTTCCATCTCTATAAAAAATTCCAAAGGTCCCAGAAATATTTTTATGGTTTTGAATAGAGCAAACGGAGGACTATCCACTGAGTATAGGATATTTGAGATCCAAGCTGTGAAAAGCCTTGGTTTAAGTCACACAAAATATTCTCTCATCGTGTCAATAATCATATACTTCATTATTTTCTTATATTCTGCATGGATATTTCAGCGCTAGATTTTTTAAACTAGAAATTCAATTCACTTTGATTCTCAGTGTCGAAAAATGCATACAAAAGGTTATCTCGAAAAACATATCTTCTTTGATCTTTTTTGCAATTTCGCCTACTGAGAATGGAAACTGGTTTTCATTGACAAGTTCAATCAGTTACATGTTTAGAAATTATTAAATAGTGGTTTATAATCTTTAGATTAGAACTGAGATTATTCTATGCCACCAACCTGAAAACGAAAAATAAGCAGCCATGACCAGTTTCGTCCTTGCTTAAGGGACTCATTAAATGGCATTATTTTAATTCATTATCATAAAAAATGACGACGAAACCGGTTGTGCCTACTTATTGTTAAAAACAGTACAATTGGATGCAGAATTAAATTCTGCACTTTAGTCAAGTAATAAGGAAACCAACTCAAGTCGTACAACGAATCCGGATGAAAAAGACTCGAATATAGTGCTAACTTTACCTACCTTTCACTTGAATTATGTTTTTAAACTATCTATCTTCAGTCAAGTTCGATCAAAAAAGAAACGAAAAAAAAAATTTCTGTGAGATTAATAGTGGGATGGTTAGAAAGGTCAGATAATAACCACAGACCTTCTAAAAAATTCATCCAATCTTATTCAGAATAACACAAGCTGATTTTATATAGTAAGAGAAAAGCACGTATCAGTTCTCTGTTATTTAATATTTACGGTAAGAAAATAAGTTTTTTCAAGGGTAGATAAGGAAGAAAGTCTTCATTACATTGCCATTCACATGAATCCTCAACGAATCATCACCTTCTTCGTTTTAAAGTATACAAAGGAGAAGCGACAAAAAGAGCAACTTTTTATCTCAATGCTGAGATAAAACAGTGGATATCTTATCAATAGAATATAGACCTTTTTTGGACGTTGTTCTGTCAATAATTTCAAAACCTTATTTTCTGGCCAATGAGTTTCTTCTATGCTCTTCTTCTATCAAGTTTTCTGCTTGTTTCAAGCAAGCAAGTAGTTATCTCGAATGTTCTTCCTCGATTGGATATAAATGGATCATATGTAGATGCGCATGATGGTTGTCTCGTTAAATTTAATAATACCTATTTCATATATGGCACCGTTTACGGTGAATGTCATCAATCTACAACGATTTGTGATGGTGTATGCGGTTATTTGAACAATACGTTTGCTTTATATACTTCACCGGATCTGGTCAATTGGACATTAATTACTAATAACATTGTACCTGAAGTCACGAAGGATCACAATCACATCAATTATTGGATGCCAAATGTTGGTTATAATAGTCGCACTAGACAATATGTTATGATCTATTGGTCAAGCAGATATGGATTTCAAAACTCCGCTGTTGCTCTTGCTGTTTCTTCAACGCCCTTTGGTCCTTTCGTGAATGTTCCGCCATTAGTGATGCAAGGGGGAAGAGTAATCAGCAGCACTACTGGGTTATTTGTTGACGATGATAATACAGCTTATGTTCGATATAATACGCGTGATGCACCTCTGAGACATGTGATAGAAAAACTTTCACCAGATTGGATGACAAGTACGGGGCAGTTCTCTGTTATTTTCGAGAAACAAGATTATCCATGGTATGAAGGGGGTGGGATCTTCAAAAAAAAAGGAATCTATTATACAATGCTAGGCACCGATTGTTGTTTTTGTCAATGGGGCGCAAATGCGCGAACATTTATTAGTACTGATCCTCTCGCTAATTGGACCTATCTCAGTGAGTTAAATTATTGTGCTGATGGAAAAGCTCCACCACAACATATCGACGGTATGAATATCAATCCATGCTCAATTAATGATCCGTATGGGACAAATTTTACAATCCCTGCACAACAATTCAATGTAGCCACTTTACCAATATCATCAGAAGAAACTTTATATATGTACTATGGCGAAAGATTTCGCTCGAGTAAAGATGGAATCAAAGGTCATGATTTTCAAGCTTGGATACCAATAGAGTTTATGCAGAATAATACTCCGAAACCTATGAAGTTTTATGATAATTTCACTATTAACATTCAAGAGAAATATAGTGCAAAATTAATTTAACGAATCTTTTATGAACCGTTATTATCTTGCACGATTTTATTGGATTTTGTGCGATTCCCAAAAGTTTTACTGTATTTCTCATATGGATATCGATGGGTGGGGGTGTGGGTAGAGATTGACACACCCACACTCCACACCATTGTTACCATATTGTAATTCTTCAAATAGAGTATCTGTAAACGACTGTAAGAAATGATTTTGGTGATTCATGACAACTCGATATGTGTCATAAATCGAATTCAACATGGCAAAACGTTACGTTTTCTATTCTCCTTTGTGTTTCTCTCTACGTTGAAAATTCACAGTGAAAGGAACTAGAATCTTGGCATTTTCTTGCCGATAACCCGAAAAATTTTTTCACACACTTCCTTGGTTTTTTATGCGTGCGTCGCGAAAGAAATATTGAAGATAACAGCAGAATGACATGATATATATTGCACATTCAAGATAAAAAGATTATTATTGTCACAGAGTGTAGAAAAAAAAGACATTGTGTGCGTGTAAAACATTCAAAAGATGGCCAGTAACTGTTATTTGAATGAAATGAAGCAGGCTATGGAAAGGATCGAAATGCTATCCCGTCGTGTTGAGCAACTTGAAAGAAATACCATGAAGCGGATTGTTAAAAAACTGTTAGCTCCACCCGCATTGCAAAAAATTCAGCTACATCAGCAAACCATGCAAAATTATGTCGACCTTTGTGATTATCTGCCGGCGAATGAAGCTGTTAAAGCCGTTCTTGTATCGGTGATGGTTTCACACGGTAATCATCCTTTTGGACATGCTTATCTCGGATTTGATGCATATCAACAAGGTTCTCCTGTCGAGCAGAAAACCAGTTTTATTGAACAAACATATAATTGTCATGGTACATTACATAAGCAAGAATTGATCATTCCATGGAACAACCATGAAAATAATCCATCAATGAATTTGATAATTGATATTACCTCTTCATACAATACGGGAAGCTATCCGGGTCACGGAAACACAAATTATTTTCAAATCCAAATAACTGGGTATATCGTATGAGTTCATTTCAGAAAAAGTTCTAGGATGAACGAATCTGATCATTTCACGTTGTCACTATCGTTTACATTTTATTTTTAAATAAACTAGTGTTTCTATGCATATGATGAACTTTATTTAAGTAGCCTAAAGTAATTTTAAAAGTTTTATCGATTCTTCGTTAGATGAACCATCGTGGCTTGAGAAACTACGATTCAAAAACGAGAGATATTATTGTAACATTTTTACAAATCAGACGAAGATATCTCATCTCCACTAAGACAAACTAGGGTGTGGGTGTCGGTGTCGGTGTCGGTGTATGTGAGGTATGGGTGGGGATGGGGGTGGGGGTGTGGATGTGGGTAGTGTGTGGATGTAGATAAAGATGTAGATAAGGAGATAACACTTCTTCACACCTACACCCACACCCGCACCCTCACATCCACACCCTCAAACCCCACACCTACACTCACACCCACACTCACGCCCACACTCACACCCACACCCACACCCACACCCACCCACACCCACACCCACCCACACCCTGGTGGAATGTATTCTTGTTGAAATGAACAGTGATCACTGTTTAAAATTTGGTGACAAGAATACTTTGATGTTAAGATTCTTTTACTTTCAATCCAGTCTTGAGCATCTAAAATGTACACACATATTACATTAAGAATGTATTTAAAGACCAAATAATAAAATGTATACCATGTAAACTGAAAACTTTTCTGTTTGATTTCGTTCGAGTAATAATTTTGTTATATCTTCTTGATGATATTCTGTTTTCCCTTTTAAAAGTATTGATAAATGATTTACTTGCCTTGAACGTATTTCAATTTAATTCTCTGGCTTTTTGAATTGCATAAAGTTCAAGGTCAACTTAATGAACGGTTTCTTTTTCAATTGTTTGTTTCTGATAGAATTCGTTAAACATAAATGCTTTAATTTGTTTTAGTTTTTCTGATCTTATACTACTGTTTTCGATATATTTTCTAAACCGTCTAATGTAATACATGCATTTAACCTTTTTAAATCGACTGGAAATAGTTGCAATTTTAGCATTCGGATGTTCGTCAATCCATTCTATTATACTTTCCATTTCTTCTAATGTGTATCGATTTTGCATATCGTTATGTTCATTATCTTCGTAACCGTCGTTGTCATCATCGCTTTCTTCTTCATTAGTCATTTCATCATATTCATCGTCGAAGTCGAGAGTGTCATACGTATCTAATTCACTGAAGTAGCTGCCTTTAAATGACTTTCGAACTTCGAATAATCGTTCGGCAAGGAAAATTTCGTCAGTAGTTGTTGCAGAATTTTCAGATCCACATTCAATTTGAGCCAAATGAAGAAGATGTTTCTAACCAAGCCAACAGCCGCTAATATTTTAACTTTGTTATCTTGACGATGAGAGCTTTCATTTGACGTAAAAATGTTCAATGTTTTTGCTTATCACTACAAACACCTCCATTGTAAGCAACGTGATACGACGAAAATCAATCATTATTGGAAAAGAAATACCATTCTTTGGAAAAATTATGCATTTTACTTAAGGGCCCCCCCTCAGAAAATCCAATTTTTCAGAGATAAGCCGAAATTGAAGTTTTATCATAGGAAGATGCAATGAAGTCTCCTCTTTCAGAATATCTATGGTTTATTGCAAAATGAATTGATTTTGACGAACGTATCGCCTAAAACTTGGCTTCTACTATCACATTTTTCGAGAAATTTTCATGGTGTTTTTTCAAGATTTTTTTGACTTTTTAGGATCCTTTCTCTTTGCATCAGCATTTCGTAAGGTCTTTTTTTATACTAATCACTATGAGACTATTAAAACATAATATTAAGATCACATATTTATGGCCTGTCTTGAACGCTGATATATAAATCAAGTTATTTTCGGAAAAATCGCTTTCTAATACTTATTTTTCGTTTTTCTTAAAATTAGGTTTTTCGTCATGCAATTTACGCGGGCAGGTTTTTCTCCATAACGACTCGACATGGAAGTGATAATTTTTTTTTATTATATAGGAGACATGTAGGGCTAGGACTTAACAGGCTCCGATTTTAAAAATTGTCTTTTACTGAAATAAAATACATGGATATTTCATTTCTATGAGCACTTCGAATTCGAATATTTTTCGCAAAATGTTTTTTAAACATCAAATAAAGAGAAATTCAAAAATCGGAGCCTGTTAAGTCCTAGCCATAAGGGTACTCTACAATTTGAAAACCGTCCAAGCTTGTTAGCTCGTATCCTTATTGCAAAATCCTTGCCCGCGTAAAGGGTAATGAATTGACTAGAACTTGTGCATTTCTTCGAGATTTGGGGGAGATATTTTAACCATAAGCTATTCTAGTCAAGACTAACATTCTCTGAAATTTTGGTTGAAATCGGATGAAAAATAGCAAAGTTCGTTTCTTAGGGGGGCCCTTAAGTTTTGATATCTTGTGAAACAGTAGAAGACAAATACTTATTACATTAGCAAAATCTGAGACACTACTAAGAAACTTTCTTCCAACTTCAAGACCATCTTAAAATTATTAATATGTATAACAGAAAAGCAACCATAAAATCTTATGAAACCAAAAAAATTTTAAAATAAGAAATCGAGAAAGCATTGGTTAAAAAAAATTAGATAGGATATCGGTACTTAAGTACAAATGTACTGCAGTACGCGTCCTGAGTGCATTCGGACTTAAGTAAATGTACTTAAGTAAAAGTACAAAGTACAATTTTTAAGTATTCAGTACATTTGCTGATACTGTAGAAATCGTACTGGTACGTATGGTTTTAGCGTACTAGTACACAAAATACTTAAGTATTGTACTAAGCATCCAATGTCTGTCGTGAATATGTCGAAAACAATGGAAATCGTCGGCAGAAACTTACTCGCACTGAATCGTTTCTTGTTGAAGAGTTTAAAGAAGCGCGAAGCAGAAGCTTGCCGATTCATGATACAGATATTCAACGGTGGGTCTCAAGTCAAGCAAAAGTAGGAAACGTTGACAATTTCGTTGCTAGTGATACCTGGCTGCTGAATTTCAAACGAAGGACTCATATTCGTTCAAGAAAAGTCACAAAGTTCGTATCGAAACATGAAGTTTTTCATAAGGAAGAAATTACTCAAGCCGGCGAAGAGTTCGTTAATGAAGTTAAAACGTTCTTGCATAAATACATGCTTAAATCTGTTCTAAACGCTGATCAATCAGGTTTCCGCTACGAACTCACATCCAGTCGTACATTATGTTTTGAAAGTGAAAGATCAATGCTCGTTACTCTCAACTCATCTAATGCGATCACGCATTCATATACCATAATGCCTCTCATCAATGCTGCTGGTAAGCTTGTTAGTCCTCTCTTCGTATGCTGACAAGAACCGACAGATCGATTTCCTGTAACAAAAGGTGTCTTTTTTGCTCCAAATGTCGTCACAACCTGTAGTAAATCAGAAAAATTAAATAAGTCATTAAATGAGTATTGGATACGGAAAGTTCTTGGCGATTTAACGAGCAATCGGTTTCTTCTATTGGTTGATCAATGGCCAGCTCAAACAAGTATTTCTATTTACGAAGAAAATCTCACGAAAGGACAATGTTGCAAGTTGATGGTAATTTCAAGATAGGCCACATCAACAAGACAACCCTGCGATCGATACCTCTTTCGTCAATAGAAAAACTTAGTAAGACGAATTTATCACCGTGTTTTAATAGATGACCTAAATATTGATTTGAAAACTCGAGACTCTATCATAAAGCTGCAATCACTGGTTCACAATCAACTTTGTGCTGATGTTTTTGTGCCAATCATTTCATATTCGTGGTCAGCTTGCGGTTATTTTCAGCCAAAATATCAGTCATTTTTGAATTTGAACGATATTTACTTCAGTTTCAAGGCCGATCAATGTTCAACAAGTAACTGTGATGGCTATCCATTTATCTAATGTAGCCATTGCCGGCATATTCTGTGCTTTGAACAATTT